AGATTCAAGCGTCCCTTGAAGCTCTTCCTTTGTCAATTTCGACAAGTATTTCCCTTCTTCTATCGCCACCACTATGTGGTCGAACTTCGGGGCTAAGGATCTCAGGATCTTCGAAACAACAGCTCTTGTTGTTAATGTTTCTCCACATGTCTTGATTTGATTCACTAGTTTTGTAACTCTAGTGAAGAAATCAGATATGTTTTCACTGTCTTCCATCTGAAGCAGTTCATAGGTTCTTTTGTGAGTTTGTAACCTCACTTCTTTCACCTTCTCAGCGCCTCCAAAAGACTTCTCAAGGATCTCCCAAGCTTCTTTTGCAGATTCTGAATCACTAATCTTTTCGAAGTTGTCTGGGCTGACACATTGATGAATTATAAATAATGCTTTATAACTCTGCTTCTCAGATTCTGTATATGTCTTCTTTTCTTCTTCTGAAGCGTTTTCGCCAAGCGCTTCGACTCCATCTTTTACAAGGTCCCAAAGGCCTTGACACCTTAATAGGACTTTCATCTGCTTGCACCAATTCTCATAGTTGTCAACTTTCAGAATTGGCAGCGTTGCTGGATAGTTTGCATTCCCATAACTTGTCATCGTGAATTCTTCAATCGTTCTTGATTGATACTTCCCTTGAATCGAAACACAAGCTTTGATACCAGATGTTGGAAATCCACCAATACTCTATGATGAATTTCGACCACCACTTGATGATAAGTTATGAAACAAACAAATAAAAGAACAATGGAGATATTTCTGCAGAATTTCTATTCTGCCCACAAACTGTGGAAACTTTATTAATTCACTTTGCAACTGCAAAATACTGTGAATGAGTTTAATGACTTGAATACAAAATAAGGGTTACTCCCTCTTATTTATAGATTTAGATTAGCTTTCTCCCTAAGCTAAACCCAAGCCCAAAATATCTCTTTACTAAATCAAATCTAATCTAGATTTAAATTCAAATCTATTTAAATCTAAACAAATCAAATCTTATTTTGACACCTATGAATTACAATTTAACACTTTCAATCAAAGTACATGCTCTGTGATATATTTTCTCTTCAACGTAAAATAACTAGTGTCCTATATCAATAATAGAATGCATCGTAGAGGTTATGACTCTTAATTAAGTTTTAAATTTCCTTTTTCTTAGCCAATCCTCCTATTCCCTTTATATTATAACTTAACAATTTCATTATGATATGATTTTTTACACCTTACTCCTTACTCTCACTCCAACCTATTCAAGAAACTCCTTTCCCCTTTTCGCTCATACACTGATTCTTATAAAATCTCTCATTCTTCTCCTTTATTTACAAATCCATAATATTTACTAAAATCCCACACATATTTTGAATTTTTTGTTGCTTCTCCAAGTAACATATTCCACTTGTTCCTCTATAACTCATTCGTTGGAAAATTTAGGTCAGAAATCAACGTTACTTGATACTGAGACCACTTATTTTGGTTAAAGGTACATATCGACTCCACTTTCTTCCTTTTTCTTCTAGTTTTATTTTATTTTTACCTTCAAAATGGCCAATTTTCTCTTCCTTCTATGTTTACATGTTTGTCTTATTTGAGTTCACTACTCTGCAACAACCATATTTCCTTCTTCGGTCGAGTTCAATTGGAAATACACTTCTGCCTGCACCTCTGGAATTCATGTTACATCGTTGACATTTTATTCAATTATTCCTTTGAATGATTTATCTTCTTATATACTTTTATTTCCTTCCTCTGGTTCATCTTGGAACGATTTTCTACCTCGCCATCCCTGTGTGTTGTTCTTATTTGACTAGTGTGGATCTATGGGCTTATATGTATAATCCATAAGTGATCCAACATGATAAAACTCATGAATAGAAAGATTCAAGAAGCAGTTGCTTAGCTTTGATGATGACAACACTTAAAGTCAAGCAACTGTTAAACTTAGCTTAAGAGGTAAAAGATGCACAAGGTGGTTGATCAAGATCAAGTTATCCTTTTGAATCAAGCTAAATAATTTTATTTAAAATCAACATTATAGTCCAACGAATCTCAAGTGAAGACTTAGGATTTATGATCATCGATTTAAACTTTCAACATCTCAAATAATGAAAACTAATGTAGAAATATCTCAAGTCTCATCAATAAGACTCAAGGATCTGATGTAATGCTAAAATCAAAGATAATGTCCAGAATTGAAGCTTCAGAGTGTGAAAGAAAGAGAGTGTGAAAGTTCATCTGATCGTGTTCGTTCGAGTGATCAGGGTATTATAAAGGCACAATGGTGTTTCTAGAATTATTATGGCTAAATCAAACACATACTTAAAACATCCAGAAAACGTGAAAAACATCCCTTTTCATTTCTCTCATATTCTCTTTAAATCATTCACATTTTTCTCACATATTTTAGCCATATTGTTTTAAGAGCGTTCTTGAGTTTATTGAGGAATTTTATTCTGGGTGAGGGCTTAATTATAATTTACCAAGAGTAGAATTTTATATTGAGTAAATTATTCTTTCTTAGGAAGTAATTGTTTTGGTTTGGAGCTAAACTCTTGAAAAATCACTTGTTTGTTCTTGGGGACTTAGTATAGGCCTATGTTTGGTTAGTGAGTTCCACCATTGAAGAAAATATTTCTTTTAGGTTCTGAAACAACCGGTCGAACCGTCATCGGATGATAAAATCAATGAAGTCGTCACCGAACGTATTTTATCCCGTCTAAAGGGAAATGTAAACATCGAGAAAACCTGAGAAGGATGAAATCACAGTTTTGCGACCGAGAAATCGGGTAAGGGAGTCTGTTACGCGAGGGGAAGGTATTAGCACCCCACATACCTGTAGTACTCTACTGTATCCACTCTTGTTGTTCTAATATATGGGTGTGTAAAATCTATGTCTAAGGCTTAAAGCTGAAAAGGGAATGCATGCAAAGAAAAAGGAAAAGAAAGTGTGGGGGAAAAGAAAGGAATATTAACAAAGATAAGCTCGATTAGGCCCCACAAAAGCCTCCACCTACATATCCCTTTTAAGGAATCAGAGCAGCCGTAGTTCGGCTCATATATTTTGGTTGGTTTGTGTTTTTTAGTTAAGACGAAAGCAACAATCAAGATGGCAAAACATCATATAAAATGACAAAACATCAACAACGATGATAAAACAACAAAAAAAGGATAATAAGACATCACATGGTAACACAAACTCATATAAGATGATAAAACATCAGCATGATAACAAAATATTAGACAAGACAATGAAACATTACACCTAACAATGATATCGAAAATCAAAGTAGGATGACAAACATACGCGATGGCGAAACATCAGCAACAAACATATGCGATGGTGAAACATCAACAACAAACATAGCAAGATAACAGGATAACATGGCAAAGATGGCGAAACATCAATAATTCGGATGATAAAACATCACTCCTAACAATGATATCGAGAATCAAAGTAGGATAACAAACATATGCGATGACGAAACATCGTAACAAACATATGTGATGACGAAACATCGACTAAAAGATAGCAAGGTAACATGGTAAAGATGGCGAAACATCAATGATAAACATAAGCGATAGAGAAACATCGGCAAAAAGATATGCGATGGCGAAACATCGACTAAAAGATAACGAAATATCATGGTAAGGATGGCAAAACATCAACTTAAAAAAGTTTAAAACAAATTCAAAAGGCGCATAATCAAATGAGATTGGTTTGTATTTTTTTACCTTGAAGAAGGATTTAAGTTTATTAGAGATGTTTTATGATTTGCCAAGAAGAAATTTTAGTTTTAAGATGCAATATGCAAAGAAAGGAAAAAATAACTAAGGGAGACTAGCCTAGCACTACCCCTAATGTTATCATACAATGATTGACCCTAAGGTTGAGGATGAAAAAGAGAATTTTCTACCCTATGTTAGCACGCATGGATAAATATCCTAATGTCTAGCTCGAGGACTAACCCTACACGAGCAATCCTAAGGGTGCAGCAAAAAACTGTCACGGATTCTGTGACAAAAACAAGCAAACAAATGGCAAAACATATGGACAAACAAAAGCTCTAGCATCACTCGAATACCAAACACCTACAAAGCGCAGGACTAGTAGTAAAAGGTGAGGTCCCGCCATAGACAAGCAACCAAGCATCAGACCAAGGGTCAAGCCACAACCAATGGGAGCGTATCACCCGAGTCAACAAGCTATAGAATTATAGGAATATAAAAGGGTCCTTAACCGTGATATCAATTATCAGGGCAAGAAAGATCTGGGTGAAATGACATAGCACATGCGTACACTAAGCATCAGTGTTAGTCAACACGAGCTAAAAAAAGCGTGGGAATCCGATTGCGGGAACCCTTTTCACTCGCCTTTAAAGGACTTGAATTCATTCAAATCTTGGGCACATGTTCAGAGCATATACTTGTAGAAAGTGAGCATAAGAACGACATGGACTGGAATGTGCGGGGATCGATTGCGAACCCTTTCCGCTTGCCTCCTTTTGAGGACTTTTCACCTATAATATAACCCGGGCACAAATATAAACACACGTGCATAATACCTACTTCCAAGGTAGGATTTTAAACAAACACAATTAGCATACAGAAAATGGTGCCTGCTATAGGACTTTAAACAACGACTTCGAGCGCACGCTCTTTATTTCCTGCTTCCTACTTCACATGATTTCTATAAAGCAATAAACGTCCCTACTATACATGATCTCTAGAAAGTGGTAAAATGCAGTATTTACAATATTTATAACAATAATGATCTGAATGTATTTACAATATTTACAACGATAATGATAATACAGTATTTACAATAATAATGATAATGCAGTATTTGCAATATTTACAACAATAATGATCTGAATGTATACTAAACAGATAAGACAAATCCATATACATCAAACTCTGCAACAAAGTATATGAATCTTCACAAACTCCAAAAGCTAGCATCCGTAAGCAAACAACGTTAGAAAAGGTGATAGGCAAATGCAAGCAAACATCTGTCACCGAAGCGGGCAATCCAAACTTGTTTCTCCATATATACACAACTCACCAAAATTGTTAGAAAATAACAACACAATTAAAATACAACTGGTAAGTAAGCAATCAATGATTAAAACAACAAGATTATGTACAATACAAAATAGGCAAGTCACTTGAACATAGCATGGCATTTCCGGACAACATAGCATTAGTATCGAAAAGTGCACCAAAATTGGTATAAAAGCAAGCAAAGTGAAATCCGGCATAAGTATGAATTGTGAATGGTCAAGTAGTGAAAATGAATCATGTTTAGGTACTAATGACAATACTCCGGACAACCATGCCATATTCAAGTAATTGCACTCAAAAACGGTAAAAATGCACATGTACAAGTTAACGGTATTAACAAAATGCGGTGTTTACATAAAGTGGAAATGTAGACATTCAATATAAAAACTAAAGGGTTAGACTATTTTCTACAAGTTAGTACATTTACGCACTAAAGGGAATGGCGTCATGGACCAAAGTTAGTGCAAAACGGTATTTTCAAAAAAACGCATAATACATGCATAAACCGAAAAGTGCTTCCGAAACAAGTGGTAACCTTTTGAAAACCATCCGGAATGATTTATAAAAATTATGTGTAGCTATAGATGTGCCAACAGTTACAAAAGTGTTCAATTCGGTCAAATTTCACCCGAAAACTCGATTTTCGCAATAATTATGGTTCAGGAAAATCGGGTGAAAAATGTCCAAATCGAAAAACTAAACGCATAGGTAGCTCCGGATGGCTCGAGCGACATGGTCTTCGTTAAAGAAAGTCATAAAAACTCAAAGTGGTTCACAAGTTATGGCAAAAATCGATTTATGTCAAAAAATGTCATATTTTCCAAATGTTGAGATGTTTTCCATTGAAATCGATCAAACATGTTTCAACCAGAGTTGTTAATAGCGCCCGTAGCGGCCGCTATAGCGGCGCTCCGGAGCGGAGCAGAGGCCTGCCGCGCGCGCACAAGGGTGCGGTGGCGGAGAGAAGATAGCGGGCGCTATCGCCGCTATCCCGGGTCGCGGATAGCGGGCGCCTCCCGGGCGGAGCGGTTTGGCCTGTTTTTTTTTTTTTTTTTTTTGACAAAATTGCTGTTTTACCCCTCTTTTAAAATACTTTTTAAAACAGATTTGCATTATATTTTCTTTCCTTCGTTTCACTTTCTCACTTTCTTCTTCTGCCCTAATTTTTGTGCCCTTCTTCCACCGTTCTAGTTCCAGCAAGGCAGCCATACAACTGCAGTCCGCATCTTCTCTACCGTTCCAGGCTTCCAGCAAGGCAGCAACAGCACCATACACCGTTCCAGCAAGTACATCTTCTCCAATCTCCACCGTTCCATCTTCTTCTACTTTTGTCTCACATCTCCGCCGTTCGCAAGCCCTCTTTTATAGATTATTATAATATATTTATTAGTATATAAAAGGTTATCCCGCTATCCGGGATCCCGCTATTCCCACTTTTCTCATTCCCGTGGGTCGGCCGCTCCGCTCCGCTATCCGGGATTAATAACTCTGGTTTCAACTGAGTTTTACAATGGTATTAGAATTTACTGGAACTCATCTCAACACTTAGTAATGACAATCAACAAGTATCCACAAGTATTTGGCAAAAAAGTGAGTTTTATGTCAAAAGTGAGAAAACATTGGTAATTTGAAAATGCTACGTGCAGGATACATCATAATGCAAGGAAGCCTCATGAGATTATCAACCAAAAAAACACAGCAACAAAGGCCAATTACTTTGACATCAAAACCTTGAAGAAAACTCACAATATAAAGTTCCAAATTCATGAGTTACTTATCCAATACCTAGCTTCTTTAGCATTCGGCTGTCAAAACTTAAACTATGTCATGAATTAGTACCTAAAACTAACCAAAGTGTTAGTATGCTCAAATTCCTTTAAAGGTGAGAAACTCAAGTTCCAATATCAAGAATTCATACATTTCGATTCAATGATGTGCAAATTGGCAATTGAAATAAGCAAGAAGCATAAAAATGCTATTCAGGGCAGCATTACAATCGTTTTGAAAACGTGCAACAATTGATTCAAAACACAAAGTTATTCGTATTGGAAACAAAAGATACGGCACCGAGCACAAGTAATCAATCAATGAGAAGAGGATAAAGTTTTATTGACAAAATGAGTATTCCGGGCAGCCACGCTATACTTACATAAGTATGCCTAAAAATCGGTTAAAACACAACCAAAAATATCAGTATTAACAAGAGGCAAAATTATGTACAAAGAAATACCGTTCATGAATCAAAATTCTATGTACATATAATTCAAGATTCCGGACAACATTGTTACCGTTTTATAAGATCCAAAATATCTTGAAAAAGTGCAACGGAAAAGATCTCGGTATCTTTTAAAAACAACAAAACAATGCGGTAACTCTAATCCGGAATTAAATTACATGCCAAGGCGTAATCATAAATTATGGACAGACCTATATACATGCTAGCATTCGCCACAAATCAGAATTTGGAAATCCACATTTAACGTCTAGTCTTGAATGCTAGCATGCAACTACTTATCCACAACTTGCAAGCAAAGCGGCATTACGTAATGACAAAGACAACAACACAGTGAGAGAAATACATGAGCTTAAAGCATTATAACACATCTACAAATTGCAAAACTATCTCCAATGCAAGCTTATGTCAAAATAGAGGAAAATTGGAGTTATACCATAACTTGTAGAAATTAAAAACTTATGCATCAAGATACATTCTAATGCTTCAATTTCCACAAAAAAACAACAAATAATGAAATTAAAGAATTCTAGTTAGTATCAAAGTATTAAAGAGATTAGTAGTATTGATTTCAATTCATGAGGTTATGTTACCGACACTTTTCAAACAAGCGGTAAGAAATTCAGAATTAAGCATAATCTCATAACCTTATGAGCAACTAACCAATGCCTTGTTTCTCATCATTTTGATATCAAAATTGATAACAAAATCAAGAATTAGTACCTAAAACTAAGCTAAGTGTTAGTATGCATTAAATTCCTAAATCAATTGTAGAATTAACCTAAGCTAACACAAATCTGAAAATTATACCTAATTATATTCCATTCTAAAAATCTGAAAATTCAAGAGGCAAAACAAACTCTCATTCAATTCTTGAATTCTTAACTATTGCAAAAATCTGAAAATTCAACCTACATCCTAGTTACCACAACAACTCCAAATTCAAGATTCAACAGAAAATCAAAGAAGATTATAATAGTACCTCTTGAAGATGCTTGAAGTATATGAAGAGGAAGAGTTGAGGTTGACCGAAACTAAGTGTATTGGTTGGGAGGAAGCAGGACGTGACGGAGGGAGGCTACAAACACAGGGAAGTTGCAGACGGAGAGAGGTTGCAGATGGAGGGAGCTATAGACGGAGAGATTACAGAACATATATGTGTGGAGTTGATTGCAGAAGGAGGGAGTTGCGGAGTTGATTACAGACGGAGAGATGTGCAGAGTTGAGAGATTGCAGAACAGTCCGGCGGTGGTGGGAAAACGGAATTCCGGCAGAGAGGGAGGAGGGCAGCCAGAGTTGGTTGAGAAGAGAAGTCCGACGAGGGAGGAGAGCCTTTCAGGAGGGAACCTCCTTCTATTGTTATACCTTTTTTTTATGAGAAAAAAAAGAGAAAGTGAAAGAGAGGGAAAGTCCAATTTTTGGAAGAAAAAAAAAAGAGAGAGATTAGTTTTGGTAGTAAAATTTAATATATAGTAAATGTAAAAATCCCATGTTTTCAGCTTATTCACCGCTTAAGTGAAAATTACACCGCAATCCATAAAACTTCACGAACGTATAACTCCTGTGAAAATATGCGCCTCTGAGTTACGAAAACAACCCAAAAAGAACGGACGTTTTCTGACAAAAATCGAGTGAGTTCGATACGTTTAAGCGGCGAGACGTCACTGTCAAAAATTAATTACGTCAAAATATCAACTTATTTGATCTCTGCTACTCGGAAACGTCACAAGGTCATGTCCCAGAAATCAGTACCTTGATTCGGCTTTTTCAGGAAAAATATGCGTCTCTGAGTGCTCGACGTCGTGTCAAAAATTGAGAGCCGTATGATAAATGGTTGATTTTTTTAATGAATTTTACAGTACACTACCGTTAAGTCTGTTTTGCTGGTACGGACAACTCCATTTTGTAAAATAAACCAACAACGGAGGTCTTTGGGCTACTGTTCGGCTTGACAACATGAAACAGAATTGAAGGAGAACAAATTAGCAAGCCAACACTTCAAGAACGGGTGCAATTCGGTAAAAATTGACCGAGTTATGAATTTTTGAATATTGGAAACCGAACAGACAAATACCAAATAATTCCCCAGTAATTCGAATTTTATGCAGCCTTTCTCGAATAGTCAGCTCTCGCCCCTGGACGTTCATCAAGAGGATATCAAGACGAAATTTCGGGCACCGAAACCATGCTCATATCAGTATTTTCCACTGTTCAGCTTTGTCTGACTTACGAATTCGAGAACCTTCCTTCGAGAATTGGCTTTAAGCCCGAACACAGAAATTAGAGAGGATATCGAGGCGGTTTTAACAATGGAAAAAACACCTTGAGACGGTATACGAGATCGGAGTTAGAAATTTCTGAATGTCTGAAACACCGTTGATTGGTAACCTGGAAACTCAGTAATAAAATTATTTGACCGCCTTCTGCACCTAATTGGCTCCCGGCCCGAATCCGAAAAGTGAAGATAATATCAACACGAACTTGGTTATCAAATTTCAGCCCAAAATAGTACTCTGACTCACTGTTAGAAAATTATGAAGTTGACACACTGAAACAATTTTTTTTACCCGAACAGTTCCGAATTAGATCAAACCCTCTAGTTCCCTTATATTGCCCAAGAAATGAGAAAATACACGGGAATAGAACACGATGATAACCCGTTCCTCAGCTGATTGAATTTCCTGCACAAAGCCTATTGACGTTTCTGATAAATAGTCTATGCTTTACTGGCATACCTTGATCCTATAGCAACATACCCAACGTATGCATGCGTATGCAGATGAAATGTAAGCCAAATAAAAATTCTGTAATCAAGAGGGTAAATTTTGGGGTGCAACAGGTTCGTAAAGATTAACTAGTGAAATTTTTTCATAATGACTCTTGAGATCAGCCAATTCAAAATCTCTACTGGTTCGAGATCAACCTAATGTAAAATCTCACACGTTTTTTGAGTTCAGCCTGGTTTAAAGATCAGCATGTTCGAGATCAGTGAAATAAAATCTTGGTGTAGCTCATGGCCAGCTTGTGTAAAACTTTGGTTCTATTCAAATGATAGCCAACTCTAAAATCCATATTGATTCTAGATCAGATTGTGAAAAATATCCATTCGGTGTGAAGACTAACCGCTTCAAGTCATGTTTACTGTTTGGTGTGAAGACTAACCACTTCATCCATTGTTCGTTGTTTGGTTGGAAGTTAGCCTAAAACTCAATTTCCTTGAATAAGGGGGTTCATAGGCTTAACCTTATAAAATATCTCAAGCGATAGTGGATACTTTCAAGATCAATTTTTTAGGAGAGGAGCAGGTCACTTCATTAGACCGAACCTCTATAATTCTCAGGTGTTTTTCTCTCTTTCCTTATCTCTTTTACTTTCCATATAATTTATTTACTTTGAATTTATGCTGAATATTTATTCAAAAGTTTTTGATAAAATATTTTCAAACTTTGATTTTCAAAATTATTTTGTTTTAAATAAACGATTTTCAAACATCCATAACTCACCCATCCTTTTGATTATGGACTCTCAAGTGAAGACTTAAGGTTTTTTATAACTAGTAATTTAAACTTTCAATATCTCAAATGATAGAAACTAATACTTAAATATCCAAAGCCTCATACAAGAAGACTCAAGGCTCTTGTGTAATACTAAACTCAAAGATAGTGCCCAAACTTGAAACTCCAGAGTGTGAATGAGAGAAAGTGTGAAAACTCGCCTAATCTTATTCGTTCTAGTGATCTGATTATTATAAATACACAAGAGGGCTTTTGAAATTATTATGGCTAAAACACACACTTGAAATATTAATAAGCGTCATATTTTTAATTAAAATAATAAAAAATTGTTTTTGGAGCCTAGCCAGTTGATTAAGGGGTTGTCTGCTTAATTAAGAATTTTTTTAAAGTTGTCTAATCGATTAGATTTATATCCTGGTCGATTAGATGATGCATAATGAATTATATAATGGATTATGACAATATCTTAATGATTGGTAACAAACCTATCTAAATCTTCCCTTTTGGGTAGCAATAATCGATTTTTGCATTGCCTAATCGATAAGATCATTTATTTGACCCATGGATTGTTTCCAAATTTACACAATTTATTGACCTATAAATACAGAGTTTCTCTATGTTGTACCCTAAAATTTTCCCTCTCATTTCACCAACATTTTCTCATCACAAGACTCTTGGAACTCAAGATCAAGTTAGGGTTTGCTCTGCTCAAGACCCCTCCTTGCACTCTTGACCCAAATTAGGGTTTGAGTTTGCACAGGGATGTTTTGACCTAAAATGCCCAAAATGATTTTCATGCTTCATGTTGAACTCACAAGTTTATCCATACCAAGTTTCAAGCCTTAATTCCAATCTTTGCCCAGTCAATTGGACAGTTGACCTAGAAATCAGCTGTATTGGGGAAAAAGTCAACTGTGGCCAATTGACAGTCAAACCTCATGATTTTTGACCCACATCAACATAATGAACTCATATGAATCATTTGATCAAGTTTGGATCACAATTCCACAAGAAATTTGATCAGATCACCAAAAGGGCAAAATGGTCATTTTTAGGGTTTTGACTGCACAAAGGCAATTTTTGACTGTTTGACCTAACCAATGGCAAACCAAGCTCATATATGGACTCAAGGACTCAATGGCATTGTCTTGACGCATTCAACAAGTTCAAAAGATCTCAAATGCATAGGATTGACAAATGAATTTTTCAGTCAACTGATCAAAATTTGACTGTATACTGAAAAGTCAAACTTTGACTTTTTGGTCAAAATCAAGTGCCAAGATTCATTTTTCATCAAGATATGTCAAATTATGAAACTTGTTCATCAAGAAACAAAAAAATTACAAATTAGGGTTTTAAAATGAAAAATTTCATAACTTAGAAATTTTCTAAGTTATGAAATTTCCTTATTTTTTCCTAACTTTGTCCCATTTTTTCACCAAGATGAAAATGGATTCAAACAAAACTTGAAACATGAAAGTTGTAGTCCATTGAAAAATGTACAACTTTGATTCACAAAGTTTTCTCAAAAGAAGCTTGTATCTCAAGTTATGATTTTTGGAACAAGGATGCAAAACATTCTTAACTTAGACAAAATTTGACCTATTCTAGGCAGAATTTTTGTCCAACTTCTTGGCCATTTTTCATATGGTTCCACTTGGATTTTCAATTTTCATTTCAAATATGGATTGTAGTACACATTCCAAGCTTTCCTAATTGTCTAAGAACTTCTCAAACACCCTTGTGGTTAGAGAGAATCGAATTTGCAAAGTTGGCCAAAACTCATTCTTGTTCATGGCCAAAACATGTTCATGACGACTTGCATTTTCAAATCAGCATGGTTTATGCTATCTTGCAGGCCTCTAAACCTCTTTGCACTCAACAATTTAATTCCTAACCATTGTGTTAAGGCATTATTTCACCCATTTGGACATTACACATCAAATTAAGCCTTAAGTAGTAAAAGTGATTTTGCCATTTTTGCAAAAGTAGCTTTATGTCAAACCATTATGCATTGAGCCTTAGACAAAGATATGAGATTGCAAATCAAATCCAGGGATTAGAGGGGGCCTAGAGGTTTTGTTTGCAGTATACAAGATGGCTTATACAGGCCTTTGACACTTACACACTATCCTTGCTTACATTTGAAGAAACCTTGCAAAAACTCTCCATCTTTCATTCCTGTCAACACAGCCAAACACAAACTTTGTTCTCATCTTCCATACATCTCAACTAACCTAAGGCACGACTGAACTACCCCTCATACCTCCTCATACACAAAAACACCTTCTTGTTGCCAAAACAGGGTACCTGCTGCAGATTGAGGTACACAACCCAATCCACTCGTGCACTTTGGCTAAAAACCTTGCAAACACATTCCATACCATCCATTGAAGCTATTCCAAGCCCTAAACACCAGCTGTAACACCCCTAACCTCATCTGCCATTTTCATTTTTCAGTTTTGCAGGTGAACTTCCATAGCACGATATAGAGTGATTAAAGCAAGCTAGGAGTTGGAGAAGCTTCCTTGGACTTCAGGCAAGCTGTACAGAAGCTCAACTCCATTGAAGTTGGCCACATTGTTGTACATGATTCAAGCTGAAACACGTAAAACCATGGACTTCTATCTCTCAATCTAGGAAGAGTTAGGCTTAGGTTTGTGAATGAAACATGCTCTACTCATAGCCCTGAAGCCATTCATATGATTACTTTTCATTTATATTAAGTATGTTGTGAGAATTTTAGCCATGAACATTGAAGAAAAATTAGGTCAGAAATTGGGGATGAAGAAATTCTCCCTGGTTTCTTAGAGTTAGGTCAAGTATTTTATATGTCTGAATTCGTCTCTTGATGCTCTACAATGTT